CTCACACGGAGGTATATACCAGTATGTGATCTCACACGAGGGTATATACCAGTATGTGGTCTCACACGGAGGTATATACCAGTATGTGATCTCACGCAGGGGCGTCACGGCCATACGAACCTTATAGATTGTGCTGAAGGCGCAGGATCCGCGCCGCAGTAGACGACGCGGATCATCGGCCTTTGCAAGCTGTAGCTCCATCAACCACTTGAGCATTTCCAGTACATACCTGCGCAAAACAGCACAACATGAGTGTAACGTTTACTGTTCTATATTTCTGGATTTAACCACCAACACAGATTTGGCTTTACTGCTGTTTATTTACGCGCCATAATAAGAGCCTCCTTTTCAATACATCATCTGGTACAACAACTCCATCTAATGAGTGTAATTATGATCAATTGAAACACTATAATATGGATGGGTTATACACTACAATGACAGCCATTACAATGTAAGGAAGCAGCAGCAGCAGCAGCCAGCCTTTGACCAGGAATGGTGTCCGTCACAAGCAGAATTACTGCCCGGTCAATCTGCTGATTTAATTGTTTAATTACACGATTGTCAACGAGCTAAGACCTGCATGTCACCTTCACCTGTGTTTCTATTAACTAACAGATAAACTCAGACAGTAATACACAATAGCTAAAATCACACTGTGCTCAATGGACGGACATTAAAAACCTTTGCAAAACACTCGGATATGACCTGCTATGGTAAGTGACGCCCTCACCAATGAGTTTTAGCGTTTCTCAAGTTTATTATAAAATGCCTTTTTTCTTTTGTTTCAGCTCAGTGTGGAGCATATATTAGGGTGTGTGAGTTTGAACCAAGGCAACTGTGTTACTTTGATTTCTTGTGACAGGTTTTGCCTAGCAAAGCTACTCTTTTTACGGATTGAGCTTGTTAACTGAAGATAATGTACTACGATGATGGAATAAAAGCCTTTACCGTTCATCCTCAGGCAGGACACTGTTACTGTAGACGGCTGACATTATAATATATGCTACATTCTGCATTTCCTCCTGATTAAGAGTCTCGCCATGGACAAGACATGTTGCTGCCAGTTTAGCATTCTCCCTAAATGCCTTCAAAAAGTCACCTAAGAAAATAAGGAGACAATAAGTAATGACTAAATGATATACTAACATAATTATAAACAATTCAATGATGAAATGTTTCAAGACGTTCACCAATGAAATTCAAATCATGTGGTAAATAAAAGTAAGAATCTATTCACTTGTGCTATATATATTGTGCCATAGTGGCTAGCATACACAAAATAGGTTAGACTGCTCTGACTGAACTTTACACCAAAACTTCCTTACCTTTGCAAAACTATTGAAATTACAGGTTTCAACGTCACCCGACTTTCAAAACTACTCAGATATACATAGTTATAACGAGCCTTCACACTATCTTTGCTATTGCACAAAGTCAGTTAACTTCAAGGACCAATCCCATTCTGGTACATACATTCAACCCTTCAAAATTAACTCGTAGGTTGGTGCGAGAATGCGTACAGAAATCCCCTCCTCTAGCAGGATTACCATATGTAGATTCATGAAATCCAAGCTGTTTGTAGCCGTCGATAAACTGAACGCTATCGAGGGCATTGACGACGCTGTAACACTGTGATGGGTTCAGCTTGGCTAGGATCAGCCGCTCTAGAATCAACTTCTGCTGACTCGTCACCCAGGCAACATGAAACATCTTCTCTCCAGACTTGCTAACCTGGTGTTGTTAACAAGTAGATCAATGCACGAGTGGTAGCATATAGATCACGTCACTGTAAATTGTTCCTTTTATATATCAGTGCTGCAACAACATTTACCAGCTCACATTTTAAATCACCACATCTAGGTTATATCGAATATATCCCAGTGGTTACATTATATATATTGCTAGGCTGAACATGTTAAAGGCATAATAGGCCCATTGAGTGTAACCACGCTGGCCACGGACTAAACATGGAAATGGAGTAAAACACACGTACTAATCACGGACGCACATGGACAGCCCTGACAAAAAGTTCCTTATCAGCAAGCGGTTCCGATGTTTATAAGAAAATCACTGATTGATAGCATTGCGTATGGCCAAAAGCCATGCATGCAAAAATGTGTCGGCGGTGCACTAAATCTGTATCACCACCCGCCTGCGGCCGGCACGCGGTTTGATAAACTGTTCGTAACAGACTGATTTCTTGGACTGCGGATTCAATTCGACATTTCTTAGTAACGACCAGCAGTGATATTGGACAAACTAATATGCATTTGTATGTAAGGTTATGCACTTATTAACGCTCATAGGGTCTATGTCCCCCAGGGTACTGCCCGGAACGTATCCCTGGTAACACTATTGAAATGCGTTAAGCAAGGGTTAGGCTAGGGCTTAGGGTTAGGGTAGGGAGTAGAAGCGCGTAGAGCGACTCCCTAAAGACTCGTTAGTGAGTAGGCAGGTACGGTCCGGCGCATATTAGATAGTACCAGGGTACGTTCCGGCAGTACCCTGGGGGACATAGACCCTCTCAGCCTTATTAACTACACAAGGTGCCAGTTACTCTAGCATTCGTCAACATTGCATAATCAATGGGCCTAGTTTGCCTTTAAATGACGTACACTTCCACTAAAGCTTGTGTTTCTGTCATTCCAACATGCTCTAGATGAATATGTACTTAAATTACATGTGTGTGATTTTTTTTATACATGATGCACATGTTGTATATATCTTAATTCATTATTCCCCAGATTATACAATGATGTACATGAACTCAACCAACCTCTTCATAGAGCTGCTGTAGATGGTAGCGCTCAGAAGTAACAAAGAGATGTTCTTGCTTCAACTGCCGAGCAAGTTCCAACAGCTCTTCCTGCCACTGCATTGTGATCCTGTTGTTTCTAACTTGTGTTCGTAAACATTACATACAATCAGTAAATTCAAAGGCAAAAATATGTAAAACAGAATGTAAACTCTTGCTAGCATTAATAATGTTTTTCATGCTCATAGCAAGTTCCATGATGTGATGTGAAATGGGAGACACCATAAATTCATTGTACAGTGCACAATATAAGCAAAGAAATCAAGTCGGATCAAAACTGATCACTGATCCACATCACAAATTATTGACCTAGCGGTCAAGAAATCGAGACTCCGTACCAAGGCAAAAAAACATGCCCATAGAAATAGGTTCGCGACACACACTCGGTAGCAAAGGAGTAAAATGTAGAGAGCTCTTGAGAACATTGGCAGAAGGAATCAAATAAAATTGCATGTGTCGTTTGTGAAAATTCTACGCCTAATTTATATAGTGTTTTGCGTACCCCTTTAGGCTTTAGTTTAAATAGTTAATATTATAATAAATCAAGTCAAAATGAAAATGAACCATTCTAAAATTGGACAGTTTATTTCCGTGATTAAATGACCTGTCAGTACACGTTTGTACCCATTTTGGAATTGACATACATATAACCAACAACTCTGCGGTTGAACAAATGCATGTTCTCGACGCTTGTTAAATGTATTATGTAATGAAAGGGAGGCACCTTCATTCACCCACCTACACGTCTACAGTACTCAGTAGCACTAGCAGTGACAAATGTTAGAATATCGCTAGCCATTTATCTTTCTCGGCATATATCATGGCACTATTTATTAATACGATTATAGCTAGTAAGTAACTACCTAATGCATTACCAATTTCCCACCGTATGTTTCACACGGCACATAAATGAAATAATATCAATGCATGAATAGAAAATGCAAATTTTTGCTGGCGGCAGCCATGTTTTTTGTGTTTGTGGAAGGTGCTGCCACCAAGCGGCGACCATAGATATCTGCACACCGGCGACGGCATGCTTTGACCTTTGAAGTCACGCGAAGATTGCATTTTTATTACAGTGATTATCTGTGACTCTCACTAGCAGTTGTGAGCAATATGGTCGAGACCATCTGCGTTAGAAAACTGCAGAAATATTAATATATATATATATAAGTGAACTTCCACTAACTTACTTTCATTACTAATATTACTAATATTACTTTCATTGATGGAATTTCTAAAAAAACTCGTTTTACCATAATGAAACGAGATGCTGCCCAGACATCCTGCGACAATCGGCCTCTCTTCAAGTATATGACAACACATGACCACCTAGCTACTAACAGAGGGAACGGGTTGCATGGTCCATTTCGAATGTTCCCATATCTACATGGAATTTAATTCGCGCGGTTCCCAGATAATTAAAACACCACGCTTCCCACGTACACCACGTTCACCACGTACACCACGTTTTCCCGCGTTGCGGAAATAACTGCCTCAACCCTCTAACCAACCAATCGTAGGATTAGGAAATACGTCTTCTTAAGATGTGCCGTTTGGTAACTAAACATTGTATTTGATTCGAAGTCGCATACACGCACATTACGTGTATGACCTACCCAGATACCCACTTACGCAGACGCACCCGTGCGCGAAGCAACCCTATTTTCTAATTAGTATATGTTTGTTATTTTAAGCTATTTTTGTCTCCTAGATTCTGCGCTGCTTTTAAGGAGACTAATTGTGAGCCTTCAGTTTGGTTACTGGAAAGGACGACAACCCCCCCCCCATCTGTAATCTGTGTATGAATGCATGAGAAGGTGATGAGGGATGCAGTTTACCTAAAAAAATATCCGAGAACATGATTGAGCCTAGAACGTTTAGATGCGCATTTATTCCTAGAAAGACTCGTGTAGAAGGATTTCAATGTCTATAAAATTATTAGGCTTACGTACAGCGTTAGTACTAACATTTACTATCAAAAGTGTATGTATAATCAGAAATGGGTCGAATGAATAATGGCACGATATATAAAAACTGTATTTCCGAAGCAGAATTTCTCAGACGTGAATCGCGATTTACGATACAATACTAATATTAGATTGTATACGCATATCGCGATCCACGATTCGGAAATATAATCTTTATACGTTGTATATATTGTCTAATACATATACTGTTGATGAGAATCGCAGATGTATGGTAGCTGAGCAAAAAGAAAAACGAATTCTTCCAGATAGATGCACCGATAGGAACAACTAGAGTATTCATTTATTTTCTGAAATTGAGGCCGTTCTAGAAGATGGAGGCAGCCTGGGCAGGTATAGGGCCTACACTCAAAAACAATTTCAAATTGAACTAACTGAACTTGAATAAAAAAACTGAATTCAGCAACACAAGAGGTGTGATATATTCATTGTTATTCCACAACCGCATTGCAGTTTGGACTATTTATTTATGTGAGATTTGTTACTGTGCCGTACTGGCTCATTGGGTAGTTAGAAGATGCGCCATGTATGTGTTAGATTGTATTTTCTGACATTCCCTGCTACCATTGAATTTCATCTTACAGAAACGAAGCGCTGATATGATTTTAGCGCTTGTGCTCGTGTATTACTGCTAAACTGCTCGACGATTTACAACAGTACAACTCACTGCAATGTGCGCCAAATGTGTTTGTCGAATTATTTCTGAATAGGCCAGGAGCGCATATTAAAACCGCGATGGTTTTTAAAGCTATAAGCGAACTGGTGACTACAATGAATATGACTATAAATTGGCGATGTCGCAACCAAACCAAAACGTACGGCGCGTGCCTGCTGGGTGGTGCCTAATGATGGAAATCTGTTGTGCCTAGGAAAATGCGCCTTTGTTTATTTTTCAGGTCTTCTTCAAGTTCTCCCTTCTATGCCTGCAGTGGAAATGTCAATGTGAATACATAAGAAAAGCGTTTACACATAAAGATCACATTTGCACCCGCTTACGCACACGTAGATGGAGATTTAAATTAATAAACATATACGCACGTCTGTCATTTATTTATTTATTTATTTATTTATATGAAATATTATACTTATCAGTTGTTAATAATCATTCTGGATAAACAAAACAGGGGATGTACAAGACAGCGTCATGTATATGCAATGCCTTTCAATCTGTAACACGTGATAACGAAATCTCAATATTTCCAAGAGCATATTAAGAATTTCTTAATACGCTCTTGATATTTCTCATTACATTCAATCAGCGTACCACAAACTCATTAATTAATCATTTAATCATTAATAAGGTCATTGTTTTCCCACGCAAGGACTTTACATATATATGGAGATTACTGCCGAAATTAACTTCATATGACTGCTTATAGAATGTAGTCATTCTATACCGTACATCCTTCACTAGTAAGTTTATTAACTGCGACAGAAATTACTATCATAAACACATCGTCAGAAGACCAACGATTCATTCACTCTTTCTGCCAAGCGAGGCAAACATGACGGTGCGCGTTTCACACAATCAACACCAGTCGTTAGTACGCCTGTTTTACGCAACGAACCCGTCGAAACAAAACGAAATTTTGAATTAACTGTTGAATTAAATTTTCCAGCATCGCACCGACATTTACTGGTTTGCAGCATGTAAAAGATGCGGCTTTGGGGACATTGTGGATAACGAGAGGTGAATCGAAAAGATGGAAGGGAATTCAAAACGAACACGTTTTATTTTACTGACGGAAGAGCGAATAAAAACTTCTAAGTGTGACACCTGCGCGAGATTAAACAGAAAGCATTACTAACAAATTGCAACATGGCGTCACTAGATTGTGATAGAATCAGTTCTGCAGACCCTGGCAGCGCCATAGTCTACTATATACCGACGATATTTGACTATATGTCGGCGTAGAACGTCATGCGACCAGTTTTTTTTTTCGTAAACAACTCACATTTTATAACATAGACAGCACACATGCACCCTCACATCTACCATTGCCTGTTACTAAATTTCAGCGACATTGCCGACCTTGAATAAATATACTATTGACGACACGACTAAATTTAACGCACGAAATGTTCAATAATCACAGGTATCCACAGTTACAGCAACCAATGATGACATGTTCCACATAAGCAATTTCCCATGGTTACAGTACGTGTTGATGAAATACCCAACAGTTATAGGTTTTAACAATTACCATACACGTTCAACAATTGTAAATAGTGCATGACACAACATATAGAACACCAGGCGGTGTCACACAATGCTACCTGCAAGAAAAATCAACGTCTCGTAATTTTCGGTTTCGCAATCAATGTAAGACCATAAACTCAATCTATGGCCATTTACGTAGCCATTTACGTAGCCATTTCCACGATATATCACACATGCTATATATCCGTATACGTGAGTATACATATATATATTAATTTACACACTCACGCAGGCACGCACGCACGCCCGTACGCACACATATACATACAGATATTCTGCACATTTCACGTGTCGGTATAACGGAAAACCACGAATTGTCTGTGCTAATTGACTGATACAATCTGAAATCATATGTATGCTCACAAGTAAGTAATCAGCGACTGCATACTACTAGTAGTACCCGCAGTTAACACGCACGACAAACTTCAATGTTACACTGAGGCCAAGCAATAGCCAGATTGATGCTATGCAAATGTGCGACACAACACAACTTAGGCCTGAACAATGAACATGCAACTGACCATAAACAATGAGTGCCACTGGCTCAGTGAGAAATTACGAGTGACAATAATGACATTGACCAGCAACCTCGGCAAGCCCCCCCCCCCTCATCCACCGAAACACTTAGATAGATTAAAGAAGCCCGACATCTCACAGAAAACATCTTTGCTAGGAAAATTTTGATTAGCCGCAATATCAAGGCAGCAGTTAGATTCTTTGCACACCGAGACAAATACACAGTGAACACGCTTACGCCCCTCTCTTGTTCTGTGTGTGATCAGGGCGACCTCAAATATGGAATCCCTTGAAGTAGTGACAGAACGGTGATTGTATTGGTGGCGTTACTTAGGTGCCACTGTCGTTTTGGCCGGCGTTTCATCGTCCCCTTTAGCGCTCGTCACCGCCCAAACTATGCACGAAAAAATAAATTGGTCAAAACTGCAACGTAGTCGGGTAACAAAACGTATGGATTAAAAATAAGATGTGGCTGGTGTAAATCGCAATGAGGATGACTCCTATGGGAAGATAGGTTTCGATGCACTTCTCGTGTGTGTGAACACTGACATGCGAGAGTACAGAATGGGCTTCACTCACTGTTAGGGATACATGTGACAAGCAAACAGATAGAATGTAACAAACACTGATAGCAGCAGGTAGTACAAACAATGACAGACATTTAATCCACCGATCGCTAAAGTTCTGCATACATCGAAAGCTGAGGAACACAAACGACATCCGAGTCAATTACTTGGTTCTAGACACAGGTAATAGTGAACAATTTTACACATGCACGATACACACTTATATGTGTACTAGTAACATATATATGTAGACGCGCGTGTGTCTGCGCATAAGCACGTGAGTACAAACGCATGTATGTATACACACATATTGTTTTTAATTTATGTCATTACATAATACAGAACTGCTGTCTGCATTAAATATTTACAACAAACAATGCTACCTGTACATTCTTCTCATCTAATTATCCACGTATATCTAGCAAGACTAGCGTTCATAAACATTAACAACAACTAAGACACCCTACCTCCGTTTTATTAGCGTAGTATTTTACCTTGTGTTGTTCATTTGTTCATAACAGCAAAACAAAACACATAGGGAACCAACCTTTGAGTTACATACACTAGCCCAAAAATTTTCTTTGCATATAGAACATTGACAAGTAACCCCTTCGTCTCATAACTGTAAAATACTACACAGTTCGTTGGTAACAACAGCTGCAGGGGTAAGTAACGCGTATATGCTCGCTGAGTTCACTCTGCATGTTAGCAAGCTCTGCAAGGTAAAATATCACCCAATTAATTATGTCACTGAGAATGCTTCACTCCAGCATGTCTGGTGGAATGCGGCTGTTTGAACTCCAACCTGGGACCAATAATCGGGGCGTGCGTAAATCAAACTCGAACAAAGAAGCCAAAGGTCGAGCCATCTGACTGTTAGCTATAATAGCTTCTGTCAGCAAGCTTGTGCACTATTAGCCAACTACTATACATAATATACAGGGCATGAAATTAGCCAAAATGTGAACAGGCCATGATTTACTTCTTAGTAGTCACCAAGTAAAAACTAGTCAGGAAATTGGTAAATATTGTTGATATAAAGGCAAGATAGGCAAAATTTTGAATAGGCCAAGTGGACTGATTATATGGAGGGAGTTTGAACCGGCAGTTTAGGGGGTTGAACCGGCGCTAATAGCGAAAATTTCGTGGACTGCATATGTGATGACACGGGTGAAACATTTGTCTACACCATTCAGGCACAGCACTCATTAAATCCAAGCAACTATGCTCAGCTAACCAGGCACTAAATATCAGATGACTTCTAAGATATTGAAATCTTAAAAAGAGTAAAAGGCTTGTCCAAGCACGGCTTTTACGAGTACCACATTTCAGGTAACAGAAATCAGAGTTCATTCTCAAGCAATGTTATATCCACATCTGCGGATTGTGCATATGAATGAAAACGGCTACAGAAAGGAGTTTCAGTGAGTCTCACACTAACTCACATTTTCAAATTGTTCCTACATCCTTCTATATCTATATCTATATCTATATCCTCCTATCTATATCTCTAGGTCTGTCACACATGCACATCAACGAGATTCCTAAGCTTATCAACTTTGTAACAATTAAGCATTTTCCATGGCACACCTGCTTTGCACTTTGTGACCCTTGAACTAAAAAAAACCTTCAGGGAACGTAGACAATACCGTCACAACTATATATTCGATTACAATACAACAGAAGTAAGTGGACAGGACATGTCACACTTCTATGGCCTTATCCCAATTTAAATCATTTCAAATAGATCATTTAAAGGCACATAATACAGGGCCATAGCTCTTGTCACAGTAATATTCTAATTTCTAAAAGATACAGAATACACTACATAATACGGGAGCCAGGTATCTGTGCTGCCATCTCTTGAATAAATTGCAAAGCACTAGCATATATTGTAGTGATACCAATTAAGTAACCCTGAATTTACAAGACTATGATGACAATGGAAATATGCTTGAAGGTGACAGCTAACTTATTCCAAACTTGGCTGAAGCCACAGCGAGACATCCGGCTGGCTTTATGCATACTTTGTGGCTATCCAGACTGTAGCACAGAAGCATTAAGGAAAAAGAGAATGTGTTAGACCAACATAGACCGCACGCATGGGACACGAACTTTGAGTTCCAAACATTTAATGCTCGAAGGAGTAATGACAAAAAACAAACTTGCTAATCACATGCGTGCTCGCTTAGTAGCTGTGGTCCGAACAAGTGTAGTAGATAGTGCACAGCATTAGTCTGATAGAAAAAATGTAGCCTATAGATAATTAATACAAAATTTATGTGGTAATTAACGTAAAATCGGTAGCAGTTGGGCAATGTAAAGATGTCTGTTCACATGCTCCTGTTTAGATGGTCCTGTTAAATACGTATGGTAATGGAAACTAAAGCTAGGTAATACCACCTTACCTGCCATAATAATGCTAAAAACCAAACCATATCGAGATAAAACTCCATTCTCCAATACACTAGCAGATGTGTGTAGCATTGTCATGCAGCTAAACTGCATATAGATCAATAAACCAGATGCCCATTGTCAGAAACATGATAAAGTAATGTAAATACTATGATAACACTAACGATTAATGTTAAAATGTTAAGAGAATAGCATTGACAGAAATGGATCGCAGCTATGAGAACAAGTGCCGCATAGCGACAGCGCTCATTTAACGTCTCTGCGCGTGGACTCTTGGTGGAGTGTGGGATTCTCAGTAAACCCTGTTAGTCCCAAATGTGTTCACATACACGCCGAAACAGTGGAATGCACAGGGATGGTATCAGGAACCTTTCTCAAAGAATGTTCGTTGGGATCGCTTATGAAGTTGCCACGAGATGGCGCGTACGTTTAAGTGTCTTCAGATTGAAGATGGAAGCTCCCATCATATGTAGTAGCAACAAACTATCTGCAAGACAGAATAGGTAAGCACTCATCCATTTACCTACGCGCAAGCCTACAGCTGCGCAATAGAGAGCGCACCTGCAACCAATTAAGGCAAAACTCCACAGTGACCACAACACATGCACTGCGGAGTAGCACTGGCAGTGGCATACGTTACATGTAACATACTGACACTACAGAATGCCATATAAATTATACGATTTAAGGAGCATAACCTTCTTTAACCAATTTAGCTTTTGAAATTTCACTGTGACATTGTAGGCCTCATACATCAGCGGCATGTATATGATCTTATAGCAAACCCGGCAGTCAAATTCTTTCTAACAGACAGTCAACAAAATCCATGTTTAATACCCTCCTCTTGAGGGTCAAAAGGTTATCTGACACTTACTCTTCGCATGTCAGCAAGAAAGTAGAGTTCATGGTCCTTTCAATAATGCCATAAAATGCTAGGTACCGCTGAAACAAAAAAGTTTTTTCAATCGCTCCGTCAGACCATGTCCTCAGAAAATGTCTAAAATCTGCCCTGTGCCCATGACCTTTGACCTGTGACCTCCAATTTCGGCACAGTGATGGTTTTCCTACCATGATGCTATACACCGACTATCACGAGCTAGTCGAGCCGTTTAGATTTGTGCCGGCAATTCTGCATTTCCTCCCTATACCTTAAGTTAAGGAAGTGAATGTTCCCCCTTCTTTTACACCTCTTGACCTTTGACCTTTGATTCCCCAGCTTCGACAGCCCAACTCGTTTTGACGATCCCCCCCAACGACCCGAATATCGTGACCGTACGTCGAGCGGTTAAGATTTGTGCCCAACTGTTGACGGACGACCGGACGGACGGACGGACGGACGATCAAGCGATTCTACAAGCTGCATCTGACTATGTCAGATGAGCTAAAAATACGATAACAGATACATGACAATTTACTGTCACACGGCTGCCGATTGGATGTATCATTGATTTGATTAATAAGAATTGATCACAAAACTCTAATTTACATATATTTATTGTACATGATCAGAATATATGCATATATTATGATAGTTAATAGCGTGTGAATAATAACCGATGAAATTGCATGACCACGTTTTCATTCGTGTATGGTCATGTTGTTTTTTATCATTTTACAATTATACACGATTAACCCTCATAGTATGCATACATTCCTCTCACGCACAATAAATGTATGTTAAACTAAGTTTTGTGATTGATTCTCATCTAATAGCGATCTAATTGCTATTGCGACAGCGATTGCTATAGAGATTGCTATAGCGATCTAATTGCATCTAATTGTGATTGATTCTCATCTAATAGGCACCCTCATACATGGTTCATACAGGACTGAAAAATTTTTCAAGGACTTTTCAAGGACTTTTCAAGGACATTTTATCAGAAATTCAAGGACATTTTATCAGACATTTTATCGGAATTCATACACAGAACAAAACATACCTGGATTAATTTAATAACCCCATTCTTAATCACTGTCACCTCTAAAACTTACCTGGATCACATTAACAAACCCGTCTAAATACTGTCACTTCTACAACATACCTTGATTTACTGACTGATTTTAGTGACTTACTGTAATTTGTGATCATCATTTAACTATCTATCGTGTCTATAGCTTTTTAAGCTCATTTAACGCAATTTTTATTGAGGTTTGCACCTTATTGATGGTACAAAATTTCTTTTTATTACAGGCAAGGATTCTTTCTAAAAATTAAAGAACATTTTCATGAAATTTAAGGACTTTTCAAGCACAAAATCAACATTTACTAAATTTAATTGAGTACTTTTCAAAGACTCCCCTCAAATTCAAGGACTTTTCAAGGACTGTGCGAACCAGCAAATTACCAAGTTCCTGTTATTGTCAGTTTTCTCATAGCTGCGTTGCGTTTCTGTCAACGCTATTCTCGTGACGTTTAAATCAGTCATAATTGTTATCCTAGAATTAACATTAATTAGCATAGACTTTTACGACGATTCTGACAACGGGCCTCAATGTTACTATTTACATAACAACCAAAATAGAACCAAGCAGATACTTGCAAGGCACATTTGTTTTAGCTTGAAGCTGTAGTTTGTGTGCAACCACACATCAGTCAGGTGGCACTATGTAATCTCAGTGTTCAGATGCCGTTCATGAAGCCTAGCCACCACTTCGGTATTGCTATCTATAACTGGCTTCATAATTCTAAACTGGCACATAGTTGGGATTATTGGTTGCATACACACACAGCTTGAAACCTGACTCAATACGTCATCTCCTAACATTGATCTAGAAAATAGCACAATACAAAACAGTGATAACAGAACATCGAAACAAACAAAGGTGGCTTGCTAAAAAGGATAGGGAGGAAATAAAACATGCTATACAAACACAAATACATGCACAACAGCTAGCGCCTCACATGATAAGCAAATAGAAATTTCCAAAATTATCTTAAACGTAATTTCAAAATTAAATGTGAAACGTTTTAGTCAATCAGGAAATGGGAATCAATGAATGTGACTGAAACGACTGCAGTAGAAATACAGTACGACTCACAACAAACTACAAAATGATTTAACAATTATGAAAGTGACGGCTGCAGGCCATAATCGCGTGCATCCAAAAAATAGCAGTAGATATAACAATGAGAGTCTGCTACTAACGCTGAGATGGTCTATGTCCCCCAGGGTACTATCGGAGGGTACCCTGGGTACGGTTCGATATATCGGAACGTACCCTGGTACTATCTAATATGCCGGACCGTACCTCGCCTACTCCACTAACGAGTCTAGGGAGTCGCCTACACCTACTCCCTAACCCTAACCATATCAGATAGTTACCAGGGTACGTTCCGATATATCGAACCGTACCTACCCTCCGATAGTACCCTGGGGGACATAGACCCTATGAGCGCTACTAGCCGATTTATCTGCACAGGAAATATGAAATGCAGCTAACATTACCAAGCCCATCCCACCGTACGAGCTCCCTGCACTCTACAGCTGAACAAGCACGGGAGCAGGGTAAAAAATACACGGGAGCGATGAGCGATTCGCTCTTCAAACCTCCGAAATCGCTCCCGTGAGGCTCAAAGTAGCTCCCGTACAATTTTTGATGAGAGCAATTTTTCCCACGATTTTTGAAGAGCTCCCGTGAAAAAAAATTTGTTTTCCTTGCACCAGAGGCCTCTACTAGTAAGTGTTGGCTGCCTAGACAGACGACACTCACATGGTTTTCATCAGCAGAGCTCGTAAGGCAGGGTTTAGGCCTGATGCACCGAATTTGGGCAGTCTAGCTACCGCCACTAATGGCAGTCATACTCTGAGCATACTTACCAACTATAATTATTACGATCACTAGGCCTATCCCAACCATTATGGCAATCATCTGTAACACAATTCCAGAAAAAATATATGAGTGACGCCAGGGTCTAGTGTGTTAGTGTTACCGGATATATAGTTGATTTACTTTGCTCGGCTCATCTTCAGAGCGCTGCCGGTGGCAGGAAGGAGGTTGTGATTGGTAGGCACATGCATGGTGATTTCAGGCAGGTGTGATAAGGTAAAATTTAAAGCAACAGGGCCATGATGTGCAGTGCTTTTTGGTTTTGAACACGAGTATCGGATGTGGCCAAGCGGACCACAATTTATTAATAAAAGAATGTGGTAATAGTGAGTAACATGTGCCATATGGCCACACTACACACACATAACGTGAGAGCTCACAGGCATACTAAACACTTTTACTGTATTTGCACAATGACAATGAAGCCTGTTTAAACAATCAACTAGCGCTTAGTCCAGTGTTTTGATTAAGAAACCAAGAATGATAAAAATATTCACCAACAAACAATTCACTAATTTAGGGTAACTACTCGTGTGCACTAATATATATATGAACATTCTAGAAAATATGGAGATATAACATACATGTATATATAAACTAACCCATATTATCACACACCATACTGAACTACACATTTACATTTTTACTCTACGATGACTAATCGTTAATTAATATATAGCTTCACTTCATAGAAACCAATTAATTGACTAAGCAACAGACCTTGCAATTTTTCCACCAGTATTTCCTTTTCAGCTTCCCTGCACTGGCCTCAAACTGTGAAGCTCCCTGCTGCAGTGCATCTATAAAGATAATTAAGATATTATTGAATAGATTCTAAAGCAAACTCACAAACACACATGTATACATACACATAGGCGAGTGCATTCAAGGCATGAAATAAGCGGTATCACATCGCAACATGCGACACAAATCTCAGACAGTGCTACCCAAATACAAGATTGCATCACAGCTCTTTGCTATACAAATGCTGATAGCACTAGGCCTAATAATATTTCGGTCGTAACTTGATTACAGTTTCAAATTTCATAGCATTTGCTGTTTCTTGTACATTGATACTCATTTGCTTTATCAATGTTATTAAATATAACAAACAAAGATTTTTTTTTAATTAAGACATTTATCAGAAGTTCATTCATAGGTGCAGATTCATATCACTTGTCACATGAAACACCGCTTGTCACATGAAACACCGCTTGTCACATGAAACACCGCTTGTACATTGCTTTACCATCTGACATTTGACTTATGCACGCCAAAATTTCGAAATGCCACGAGTAAAATGTAGCTGGTAAATACTTGCTACGCAAAATTGATTTGCTTAGAAAATACTGCTATTGAAATTTTGTAAACCACTTCATGCCTTGGCATTCATGCTGTCTCCAACAGCTGAATTGTCATTTTTATATATCATTGAAATATCACTACTAATCAATCAGCCATCAATCAACATAATTCATTTGAACAATGAATTCTATCTACAGCGACATTTGATGCACAATGGCTTTTTAATAGTTTTGCAGTGTTTGTAAACGACTAAACTCTAAATGAATATTCTTACCTGCTCTATCATCCAGTTCTGTTAATTTGTTGTCCCTTTCTATCACCTTCTCAACATTTACTCGCATAATATCCACTACCTGTATGACACAATATCATCACATTTATTATATACTCACACACTGGCTACTGCGTGGAAACTAGACATGTATTCTAAACATGGGTAATCTATAATGAAATTTCACAATGAACAATATAATGACATGGCTAACAGTAATAAGTAGTAGAATAGCACATGCTGCACTAGAATAGCCTGTGTTGCGAAGTCAATAATTAGATGTATATGCTTCCAAGTAAAAGAGGACAGGCATAAATATTTAACGTGTTTACCTCGTCTACTTGTGCTTGTGTTTGTTGTAACCGCTTTGACTGCACGGCGGGCCTAGGTGGCTGCCCATCCCCTCCTACTGGTGGTTGTTGTCCTCCAGGCTGTGCCCTACGTACAAACATTGCATGTACACAGTGCACTCTATCTCACCACATAAATAACAGAAGCATTTAGGCCTAGAAATAAACGTCTGACTTGTCCCTAACAAAAATGACAGTCTCCTCTAAACTGCTCTATCATGTCCAATTAGAGTTGTTTTACCAGTAACCAAAATTTGTAGCAAAAATAAGCAATTTGCTTTGAACCTCACATTAACGCAGATGGGGTCGTTGTCGTATCAGGTACTACAGATATGTACCCGAGGTAGTTTTAGGTTGTTTAGTATTATGTTTATATTTTTATATAATTAGGAGGTAGTTTTAGGTTGTTTAGTATTATGTTTATAGTTTTATATGAGGTATGTTTAGGGTTAGTGTTAGGGCTAGGGTTAGGGTTAGGGTTAGGGTTAGGGTACACTTCTGTAGTACAAGTCTGGTACACTTTGTGTATACATATATCATGTACCTCGGGTACATACCTGTAGTACTAGTACCTGATACGACAACGACCCCTTCAGCCACATTAACAATAATTTGATGTTTTTATGGATGACAAACATAACCTCCATCCATGCCTAAGAACTCATGCCACTAGTATTATCTGATAACAACAGATAGCAGTGATGGGACGAATTTTTCTTTATATTATACTCTCTATATTCGAGTCTACTTGCCAAATAAACAATACGTGTAGCACTGATAACACTATTTACGAAGACCAAGGTCTTCCAGCCCCACACGTGTGATCTAGCTCTGGTGGGAATCATAAACTGGATGAAATCACCCACCAAAAACACATGCTCACGCGTGCATACACTCAATAACACTGCTGTTAGTGCTGCACTGCATGGATTCTTTTCATATCTATACAAGGCACACGTACATGTGCGCCCAACAATTGACAGTGTTGACCATACGCTAACCGCAAAACAACAAAACTTGTTGTTGGGTATGGCATAAAAATTCATTGTTGTGTAACTTCTTGTGTATCACGCCACTCAAATGTTGGCACACCCATCTAGTACAGACAGCCCAGGTTTCTTTATACTTGCGGTCACGTGTGCCCTCTCATAAAACATTGTGTTTTGTGTATGCAACATGCACCTCAAATCAATAGTTTACTTCACTTGTATCGGATCTACTTCTGGATAAAAAAAAGTACCCGCAGCACCTAGTAATAATTGTAATTGTTGCATCTTGCGAACAATTCCTCCTCAGGAGTCCCTATCACTGTAACTTCATATAAACAGGGGGCAGCATTACTCAATGATTTAACTGATGAACATGTCTCTAGGCAATACCGTGCTACCACACGACTGTACATGGTCCTACCTATAACAGCAGGCGACTTCTCTTGCTATTGTCACCACAGGGTTAAAATCAATACATGCACGTCAGAAGTAGATAATAGCAAGAGCTAATAATACCTAGAGTGTACAACGGAAAAACGGGAAAATAGTGCTATTTCACGACATGATTATTCTACTTTGCCTGCGAGTCTAGAATAATTTTATGGTATTGCAGAATTCTTTGCTCTCTAAAACAAGACCAACCGCTTGTCAATACGATACTCCTAGGCTGAGATATTGGCTCCTAAACCTCCCCTCCCACATGCCTCAAGCCGCCTCGTACCCCGGTAGTCACCAACCTACACGCCCCTAAGCGTTGCTTCGTGAAAGTTCGGTTTTTCCGCCATAACTTTATGAATGAACGGCGTTTCGGTTATCATAGGTGACTTTCGGGGCATCGCCTATGCCCTTATCCCCCATTATTTTTCCTAGCACGCGTCATGATGGAGCCAGCAATGTTTTCTTAATTAAGTTTCTACAACGCAGCTCAGTTACTATATGGTGTAGTAAGAGAACCAAATTTGGGCATGTGACATCAATTATTAGCGCTCCAAGCGGTGACGGAAATCGATAATCAAAATGCTTAGGGGCGTGTAGGTTGGTGGCTACCGGGGTACGAGGCGGCTTGAGGCATGTGGGAGGGGAGGTTTAGGAGCCAATATCTCAGCCTAGGAGTATCGTATTGACAAGCGGTTGGTCTTGTTTTAGAGAGCAAAGAATTCTGCTTAATGCAATACCATAAAATTCTAGACTCGCAGGCAAAGTAGAATAATCATGTCGTGAAATAGCACCATTTTCCCGTTTTACCGTTGTACACTCTAGGTATTATTAGCTCTTGATAATAGGGAAGGAGTGTGACTTCAATAAACAAGGGAAATTCATCATTTACTAGCCTTAGAATACCTACGATTTACTACGCGTAACGCAACCAACTTGAGCTCAAATCGTGCAGTACATTCGCCTAGCATCGTGCGAAATCGTTTCCTCGTATACACCCGCAATCCGGAGATACAGACTAAAACGTACGACACGATTTTCCATTATGTTGCCAGCAAACTGAATGTATAAACCGCCTAACTTGAAACAAAAGGCAGCTACTAGCGAGCCACACCGCATCGCCGAGGGAGCAAGAGTCGTTAGTAGCTGCCTTTAGTTAGGCGGTTTATACATTCAGTTTGCTGGCAACATAATGGAAAATCGTGTCGTACGTTTTAATCTGTATCTCCGGATTGCATAATTAATGTATAATCATTAATGTATAATTTAACCCACACTAAAAGCTGCAATATTGGATTCTGTTAAATTCCTTTAGTAGGCAATTGTAACTTTCTTTATCTCATTTCTGCACAGGAAATAAAAAAAAGAAAATAGCTATGGTTCCTTTTCTAATAACAGCAAGTTTCATTTTTCAGGCTAAATAAGTGAATAATGTAAAATGAATATATATTTACCATTTAATTTGCCAATTACACGCCAACCTAATGTAGTAATACGACTACTAACTACTGCCATGAACCTAACCCAACCAGGATGTGAGAGTAGCATCAACACAAAACACAGTGATGTACATGACCGTTTCTTGGAACTCCTATACATCTAATGTTTTCCATCAATTATAGAGGTGCACGATCCAGCATCAGATCAAAATACTCGTCGGGTCGCACATCAGGTGCATCCCAGTAGGTACTGGGGTCAGGGGGATGGGGCACGCTGACCCACCACAGGCAGAATTTTTTTTGGAAAAATGGAATTTGGTACATTCTAGCCATTTCACTGACACCTTGCGCGTGGCTGAGCTTGCCTCGCCCGGCTCGCATGTCTCGGAGTGAAAATAATATAAGGCAGGTGCAAGCTAAGCTGACTCGTCCCTGTTGTCGCTGAGTAAAAATATGTCTAGAACTTTTCAAATTGTTTGGTTCTTAGTTATATATCAAAATTGATAAACGAATACATGTTGTGCCGATTGGCGATAGGGCGGCGTATCCACGACGCTACTTTATGATTATCGAAGATTCCGTATTCGCCGAGAGCAGCGCCGCGAGATGCGTGCAGCATCAGCCAGTGCTTGGCTGATGTTACGATGCCTGGGGCGCATATGCATTGATGTACGCAAGGAGGCTGGGGGGAGTGCGCGGATTGGCTTTAAACGTCACCATGTTGAGCCTTGTGTGTTTAAAGTCAATAAATCGGCTAACGTGGTGTTTCATTGATGGGCAGCAGCCCCCTTCTATGTTTGAGATAATGGTAAGATTAAATTTAATGTAACAGGAACTTCGGAGCATGTGCTTAATGTCTTGAAAAAGTGTATCAATGCATTCAGTGTAGTTAATCAATGGTTGTTTTTGTGTTTTTTCCTTTCTGTTTGACACGCTTTTTGTTTTAAAATTTGGGCATGTACAATTCCGTTGGTGTGCGAATTAACTTATTGACTCTCGTGCCCCAGAGTTTGCGCGAGTGTGCGGTTTTTATTTTAAAGCTCTAACAGTCTGCATTGTATGAGATTTTCGTCAGCGCGGCGGTGTTTTGGACAAATTTCTGCGTGGCGGCTGAGAATTTGAGCGAGGCGGCATGCCTCGCTCGTGTCAATTGATTGATGCAGGGCAAACACTGAAATCAACTTCAAATTGATTACACTAGAAACAAGCCATCAGTCGAGTAGCTCACCACACAGCCTTTATAAAAACTTATCTCTACCTGCTTCCAACTAATTATCCTTAATTATAATTAGAAAAAAGGCTTCTTACAATGACGAATGCTAGATGAAGAGGCGTGATGCAACTCATAGTACCAAGGACAGGGTGTTACCTCTACAATACATCACCACTGCTTTCTCATCTTTTATATATGCTTGCGCTTGTAATTATAGGTTTCCGAATGACACAGCCAGGACTCCCTTCTTGGCGATTGAACTATGCTCACATGCAATTTAGACCAAACTCAAAAATTTTCATACACAGTTGCCGGTTTCGCAAAAGAAATTTTGCCAAAACATCATGCTGGTGACAGTCACAGACAGTGATGTCACCACCTGCCAGTCCTACCAGTGCGCTTGCCCGCATTGTTAAGGGAGTCAAATCTGTGATTGATAACCATTGTTTCTATCCTGTGTCACGCACAGGTACGCGGCACTGTTTTATATAAACCTTCGGGTGCGGTTGTAAATGTACACATGTGTATTAAACTTACCAGTCTTGTGTTTATTATTCTACGTAAATACCATTCAAACACTGAGTTCTGCGGACTGCAGCACACACCCATTGATATATGCACACCACTGTGAATTTTTTGTCACGATTTGCTAATCAGGAGGGCGCCTTTGATATGCCGGCATGCCGGCTATATCTGACGGGCGCCGTGGCGGGCACGAGTCTTCGAGTGTCTATATGCCGGCAGTTTTTTTATTTTTGCGTTATCGGCAATGTACAGGGTATAGGGTATGGGTTAGGAATTATGAGGTAGGGTCGGATAATAGGGTTTAGGCGTGGTAGCATTAGTGCGTGAGGATTAGCGGTCAGAGCGGGGCCGATTGGGTAGACTTGCG